CCAGGCATCCAGCCAGGGTCAACCCATATTCTAAAGTGCACGTGTACAGAAATCTGCCAGAGAAACATTAGGACCACTCAGTGAAGAATCTTTTCTGGGAGCTGCTTATGAAAATTGGTAGAGAACTAGCCTAAAACACAAGAAAAACAACCTGAAAGTGCATCCAGTATCTTCAAGAGTCCAAAAAGAAGCCCAGAGCAAAACAGGCAAGTGAGATGCCAGGGAATGGCCATCAATTACCAGCCGTTCCTTCCAGATTTAACTAGCACAGGTGACATTTGAACTTAAAGAGATCACAGGTGCAGTGTTGACAAGCAACTGCCCCCTCTCAAACACTCAGCTAGCACATTTCCACTAGCAGGGCTGACAACAGCTACTGACTGTCTGGCAGCCAACACAACATAAGCCTTTAAAAGTCTCCAATTTTGAAAAACAGAGGAAAAAAAAAAGTCCATTTGATACCCTGCAGCAATAAAACACAGTGCTCCCAGACTGAGATACCATTTGTTCAACAACAAAAATCTCGGTACAAGGTTTAATGCAGCATCAAACTGATGGTATAACCGGCAAGCAGAAATTGTTCTGCATGCTCTTCATGCTCTCTCAGCTGATCAGTCCCATTTCTGTGCTATTTCTACTGTTTTCCTAGTAACACTAAGGGCTGCTTCTGAAACAACCAAGATCACAGGCAAGACAAAGGTTTTGTGCCATGATTGCTTCTCCACTTCAAATACAGGGTGTAGTTTCACAATATGGCTGAACTGAATCAGCTGCTCCCCACCACTGAAACATCAAGGTCTCATTTCTTCCCACCTCCTTCCAGCTCTGGAACTCATCACATTTCAAGGTTAGCAAGCCAAAATTTCTTACTTGGCAGAAAAATAAAACAACCCACCACCAACCCCAAAGGAAAAAAAAAAAAAATTATTTTTTTTAAAATCAGGTTCATTTGCTGCTGCCTCAGCCTTGGTGAGACTAGCTGATTAAACTTACTGCACAAGCAGCAAACTTCAGAAGCAGCTCAACCTCAGCAAAGGGAAAAAAAGGAGAACTCTGCAGCGGAACCAGCATATTGACAATTCAGCTCAAGCCACCTCATGAAACTGGTACCGTTGGTGTATTTTTACAACAAAGAATTTCAGAGTCAGCCTAAATGTTTCATGCTTGACCCTCCTTCCCACAAAGCCAACAGCAAAGTCCTCACTGAGTGACACGGGAGCAGAAGGAGCTGCAAATATTTAAGAAAACTTCTTAAGCGTACTTAGGCATCAAGATATCTTTTTCATTGCCTAAATTCAAATGAGAATTCCCTCTAGGCAAAGTTGAAGCCTGATCCTCAGTGACAAAACCACCTTTGGAGGCTTCCAGAAAAGAGGTTTGTTTAGTGCAAGAACACACTAGGAAGCACACTGAAAAAAAGACACACCAAAATTGCAGTCAGTAAAGATAGTACTTTAAGAACGCCAAATAGCCCTTTCATCTTTAATTTCCACTTTCTTAGCAAGAGCTTAATCCTAGGGTCAGTCACAGGGCCCCCAGCCCCAAGTTTTAGATAAGCGCAGAGGTGGGTGGGGGGAAAATAATCACTGCAACGGGTTTTTTTTGTTTGAGTTTTTTTGGGGGTTTTGTTGGTTGGTTGGTTTTTTTATGTTTTTTTTACTCTCTTTCAAGAGCTAATTGCAGCCTCTGAAGAGTTTCTGAGGCATCTCGTTGCCCTCTAGCTGCGGCTGGAGGAGTGGTTTACCTTTTCTTCAAACAATCCAACAAACCAGAAATGACAAACCAACAGTTTGGGTATGTACAAGGCCAAAAATAAAATAACTCTAGGCGTGTTGCACTCAAAGACTCCTGACAAAAAAAAAAAAAAAAAAGACAACTGTGTCTGGAGTCCTGTGCACATACCGTTCTCAGTGCACCTACCCCCTGCTACCCACCTCTTGGTAAGGCTGGTCAACACAACTAATTCAGGCTATCAAAAATCCAGCCAGTTCAGGAATAAATGGCCAACATAAAGGTTACTTCAAAGGTTCTCCTTCCATAACTTTGTACTTGGTGATGATACATGTACAAAAGTCACAAGGAGTTGAAAACTTTGGTAGTTCGTGGCATACTTGTCTAATGCCAGTCACAGTATCAGGTTGCTTAGAGGGTCCCTTGACTGCCACCAGAACATTAAAAAAACCACACAGAACACTTTGCAGATGTGGCTTCACACCCTATGCCCATACCTCTTCTCTCCTGTGCTTTTCCTCTTTTGAGATATTATCTGCAGGAGCAATATCTCCAACAATGCATTCAGCCATATCATGAACCAAAGCTAATCGTATGCATCTGACAAGAAGAAAAGACAGAATAATTAGGGTTTTAGCATTTTAAGTTGTATCTTGTTATTCACAAAGCTAAGAGATTGCATCATTTATCCCCTTCACATATTTTACAGGTGGGTTTTTGGTTTTGGTTTTTTGTTTGTCTGTTTTAAACTTTACATAACATTTTTCACTTCTTTCCTAAGGGAAGTAGTTTCCACCTAGACATGATTTTAATTCTTGATTTCTAGCTACTGCTCCTTGTAAACGTAAATTTAAGTATAAATGCACTTTGTACCAGAGTATAACATTCAAAAGCAATTTATTTAGCTTTTGTATGCTTGACTTTTGGAGATGTTGTGATAACTAACTACTTTATACACTTCACATTATTCCTGCAACAGGCAGAACGTAATCTGATCAGAGCCATCCCAAATTCAGTACATAAACTGACATTCACTGCTCTGTAGCTATGTCAGTCTGCAGCAGAATACCCAAAAATGCCTTCAAATCAGCTCCTGAAGGGGCAAAGCAAGCATGATCCCACAGTAGACTTGACAACTCATTCAACAATGACTCTTCCTCTGCTATGCTAGGTGATTTCTGAGGCTCCTTACTGCTGCTGAGTGCTAACTCAAGTCTTTCAAAATCCACACAATGTATGGCTTCGCCTCTGCTGTCTGTTGCTTCAAACAGTGTTTTAATCATCTTCAGCTTGCTTACTTACAGCTTGAGAGAAGGCCAGCTTAGAGCCTCTGCAGGAAAGACTTGCCTCAGCACTCATAGCTTAGCAAGAAAAACTTTTAGCCCCTTTCAGCTCTCCAGGTAAACAGCACCCTGTCCAAAGGATGGAGGGAAAAGGATTTCAAACTCCTTCAGTGTGTTTTAAAAGCTCTTGCTTGGGATGACAGCTATTTTTAGCATTTCGATTGCAGCTCTCCTATAACACTAACATACGGTTACGATAACCAGAGGCAGTCTCACCTGTCCCTGTCAAGGCTTTTGTCTTCGGTCACCAAAGCCATCATCGCCATCCTGTACATGTGATCGGATACGCTCTCTGGCTTCGCCACATTCCTGTACACCCATCCCGTCCGGGGTACTCTCTGCGTGAGGAGAGTGTTACAGCAACGTAAACGTTAAAACCTTAGGTTTTGAAGGACCTCACTTCAGAGACGCCTGTAGAAATTTTGGCTCGCTGTAACCTCCATGCTCCGGTGAGCTTTGATGCTTCCGGGAAACACCTGCCCCAACTACGGGGCTCCCCCGAGGCCGTGAGGGGATGCCTTTACATTGCTGTTCACAGGCAAGAGGCACACCCCAGCACTACCAGCAGCACCAGGCGCCCTCCTCAG